TTTTATACTATAATTATTATAAAAAATGTCTAACAAAAATAATAATAATCAAAACTTGTGAAAATAAAAATGTGTTTTATTTACGTTTTTTCCTCATTTTTTAAAAAATATTTTATTCGAACTAAGTGAAGCGCACACACGTGTGATATGATATCGCCCCATCTGTCCTCTAAGGCCGGGCACACACCTTACAACCATTGGATGACTTTTGTCTTGCGTCGGTTGTAAGGTACTTAAAAAAACGTACGATCTGCCTATCTTGCAAAGGCAGATCGTACTTGCGATGATCGCAAGCCACGCCCCCTGAGGGGCGGGCTTCCGATGACCGCAATGCCGAACGGGCACTGTGCGCTTGCGCACACCGGCCCGTACGGCTTTTATCTTACGAACATGCCACACACCATCGTACGATGCTCGGCGGGTTTTCGAACATGTTCGTAAGTTTAAAGTCGTGCGACCGTACAGTAGCAGAGGTCGCGCGGCTTCCACACACCTTACCATAATCGTACGATCGCGGGATTACCCGCCATCATCGTAAGGTGTGCGGGGACCTTAACATACAATATATAATATGTGTCGGTGCGCTTAGTAAGAACGTATATGACTGACGTGGAAGAATCGCACAGCAACAATGTAACACGCGTGTCCGTCATTAATGACCAGAAACTGAAGACAAGCTCAGTCATGAAGGGGTTAAAGGTCAGTGTTTCCCCCATAGTTCTCCTCAGGGTAACGGGAGGACACAAACTAGCGTCCTCCCGTCACCCTAGGCTCAGTATATAGGGAGCTACAGCTCGCGGTATACGGAGACGCCGGAGCGGATCCCGACAATTGTGCCGGGATCCGCCCAGCTGAAGGTCGCCCCGAACTATGAGGTGAATGACAAGCCCCTCCCCCCCCTCATAGTTCTCCTTTAATATAGTTATTATAACCTATGAAATCAATGAAACGATTAGCGCCCATAGTGACGTTCCTCTGGACTTTGGCTCCATCTAGTGGCGGCAATGCCCTGCGACGCCCCCGTCACAAATCTGATCCATTTTTATGTGTAATGTTACAATAAATTCCGATGCACATAAATCATATAAAATTATTTATAAATGCTTTGATTTGGATGTATGAATCTTATGAATAAATGTAATCAGTGACCCCCTCCCCCTCCCCGTATATAACGATATGTCTGATCCCTACAATCCCCGGGGAGGACGTCGTACTCACCCGCTGCACAGTGTACAATCTGAAAAAGAGAAGACGCAGAAGTCAGCCTGCGCCTGTGTGCGCACATTGATGACACTGAAGAGCAGAGAATGTGGTGCGTACCTCTAGCAGGGCCCCGGTCTGGAAGAACTTCAGCGGCCGCTCGATGGAGTAGTAGAGATTGTGGTAACTTCCTTTGGTGAGGTAAGTGCGCACCAAGCCGACAGCGATGACCAACCACCTGCAACGTGGAGACACGCGGCTCATCCTGGGATCAGAACGCACACGCGTGACCTCGTCCCACACAACACACGGACATCTCACCCGTCCTACACCCCCCCGAGCTCGCTCTTCTCTTCACCCCCCCAACTCCCCCGCCCACCCCAACT